TATATATATATATATATAAAGGTGTTTTAAACCCTTCCCACACCGTTGCAATATTCTAAACAATATTTCTAAACTTTAAACGCTCTAAAAGAGCACAGAATGTCATGATTTCAGCTAACTGCCTCCTCTCCTCTTTACCACCTGCAAGCGCTCTTGGCCACGCCCACTTCTCCGCTCCGCACGCAGATCAGCTGTTCAGCTGCAGGAGGAAGTTTGTCCTGCAGTAAGTGCTGCACAGAGGTGCAGCAGGTGCTAAATAATTTAAAATAATTTATTTTAAATAAAAAATTTCATGCCAATCGTGCGGCTCATCCATCAATCAGTCAATTGTGTAGTGTTCAATCTTATTTTGAAAAACCACGATGGAGCGAATCCACGATAAACAAACCGCAAAGTGGCGAGGGACTACTGTATATTCAGACTTCCTGAACCATTTGAAAGGTTTGTTGAAGTTTATTTTTTCATGTTTGACCAAAGTTGTCAACCTGTTGTTTTTTCAGTTTCACTATCTTTATTATTATTTATTTTACATTGGATGTTACACTCGTAATTGCACTGACAGGAAAAAATAAAGTTGTGTTGTTTTTACGTGTATGACCAAGCTTGTGAAGCTACTGGTGCGTTTAAGTGCTCTGTACTGGTGCAGTTTTCAATACATTTATAATTCAGTACATTTAGGTCTGCGTTTTAAAAAACAAACAAATGTTTTAAGTTAATTCATCACTGTTTTTCTGTATCGGCTCGGCATCGACAGACACTGAACCTCAGATATCGATATCGGAAGTGGAAACAGTGGATCGGTGCATATCTTGAGCAGGCCTAATTAAAATGACCAATAGTTTTGGAAAGAATCAAACTTAACTAAAACTTGGGTCCAGGTCCTGAACTGTAAAACTCACACCAGATCTGTTCCTGGTGTGGCCCAGCTGTGTAAAACAGACATAAGGTTCAAATAAAGAAAGCAGCTATGCTGTTCATCCAGCATTTTAATGAGGGAAATAATCCTTGACAGCTTAGATGGTGCAGCCACAACAGTTTCTTCCTTTAGACTGACAAGTAGCCCATCATACACCGGGCTCCACGGCCCATCAGAACACGTCGTCCTCCTCATCGTGTCCCTCTCAGCCTGTCTGCTAATTATAGAAAAAAATCAGGAGGACAGAAAATTTTGATTCTGGCACGAGGGCAGCACCGATTGAAGACGGGATGAGATTCCTATTTTAAAAAGAAAAAGAGGTGGAGCTCGAGAGGAGATTAGAGGATGATGAACTTTCTGTTGCTTTTGGTTCAAGTACACAAGTCAAGTGCAGCAGAGGATCCAGATGTGTAGCCTCCATGTTGTTTCTGAGCCGTCACAGATGAAGCTGGACCAACGTGTGCTCTCCTTCTGTTTTCTGTAGATCTGCTCCCAGCTGAGCGAACGACTGGAGAAACAACAAACGGCCAACAGAGGAGAGCTGGAGAAAATCAGAGTAAGATGCACGGATGAGCACGTTCTTTCACTTTACTACTTTAAACAGTCTCGAGTGCATAGTTTAACCTCTCCTTTCTTTTGTGCTTTAGAGTTTTTCTTTCTTTCTTTCCTTCTGATCTTCCTTCCTTTCTTTCCTTCCTTTCTTTCTTTCTTTCCTTCTAATCTTCTTTTCTTTCCCTTCTTTCTTACTTTCCTTCCTCCCTTCTTTCAGTCCTTCTTTCCTTTCTTCCTCCCTTCCTTCCTTCCTCCCTTCTTTCCTTCTTTTCTTCCTTCCTCCCTTCTTTCTTACTTTCCTTTCTTCTTTCTTTCAATCCTTCTTTTCTTTCCTTCCTTCCTCCCTTCTTATCTTCCTTCTTTCCTCCTCCTTTCTTTCTTTCCTTCCTTCGTACTTTCTTTCCTTCCTTTCTTCCTTCCTTCCTTCCTCCCTTCCTTCCTTCCTTCCTCTCCTCCCTT